GACGTCAATTTCAAACTTCAGTGTCTATTCATTAAATATCAATACTGCGAAATCGAAAGTCTTTCAACTTATGTCACCTAGATAATAAATTATAGATGCACTGGAGACGCTTTTAAGAGAGTAATACTATTTTTCGTCGTAATGATGGATTATCATGTTTAGATGATGTTGAATAATATGTCCAATAAAATGTCTTTCACGTCCATGTATTTTATTGTATTTAATGCTTCTGTGTTGTCACATGGGATGATGATCGATCATCTTGATGACAAATAGCTTTATTCCTATCAACAAAAGTCAATTTATTTTAAGCATCATAATTTCAGTTTAAATTTATTTTTACTCAATTTAACTATAATAAAAATTCATAATTAATTGAGGAGTGCACTTAAAATGAGCAAAAATGGTAATTAGTAAGAGAGATATCATCCGTGGTCAGCATGAATGTCCAAATACGGCGTATTTGACTCGTCTAGGGATCAACAAAGAATTAGTTCAAGTAAGATTCAATTAATTAATTAATTTAACAGTCGGTTAACTTCAGAGGAAATGTTGCATTGCACGTGCTCAATCTGCTAGGTGTCGTGTAAACTATTAATTTAATTTAATTTAATTAATTTTAATTAGTTCAATTCTTGGTTTTAGTTACTGGTGAAATGCATTCCGCTTCATTCTCAATCTTTGATAATTAATAATGCTTGCTTTTAAAAGGAAACCTATGTGAATTCGAAATATTAAAAAAAAAAAAATCTCAAAGTCAAACTTTGGGAATTCTAACTTTAAAATGATGATAATAATAAATTTATTATTACACAATTTTATAAGCATTTAGATGTGAATAGATAAATATTTTTTTTCTTTGATATTATTGTTGGAATATTGGATTTTATTAGTTGATTTGACCAACTTTTGACCAATTATTATCTTGGGACTTGTAATAGTAACACTACAAATTACATGATCCGACGAGCCTACTCACGTTTTTTATTTCTCTAAAAAATTCAAGGACTAATAATTTTTTTTATCTTGGGAGATGAGTACCGGAATACCGTCAGCACCAGTACGGGACATTATCGTCTTAAGGAGAAATAGTCAAATTTTTGCGTCGACCATTAACATTTTAGAGCATTCATTTTTTCACGACGTTTTCTGCCCCCAAATCAGTTTACGGTGATAAAATTACTTGACAACATCCAACAATTATTTTGACATATCTAACCCAATAGTAAGATCAATTTTTCTTCGACTTGTGGAAAGATATTTAAAGTTTTTATGGTAATGTAGTATCACAAACTAACTATGTAAGCCAATAAATTTCGATTGAATGATCTTATTAAAATTCAATCGATCCAATATTTACAAGACTCCTATTATTAATTACATAGTCTATTTCAATAAATATTTTTCTTTTATCGTGATAACTTCTATCGACATAGACGGCGCTTGATGTAGGATTCGAGCTGACTCAACCGCATGAAACTTGGATCAAGTTAATCTGAATAACTCATGACTTGAATAGACTATCTGTACATGTATGTAAAAAAAGTAAGAAAAGAAGATGAATAAATTGCAACTATGTATTTGTTCATTGTCACATGGCATCATTAAAATTTGAAAGCTTTGTAACAATCTTAAGAACAAGATATCTATGAATGAAAAGTAGAAAACTGTTTAAACATTGCTTTAGAAAAAAAAAAAGTTTACCAATTTCTTGTGTGAGTTCAAACATGTATTTATGTTATTTCAATTCAAATTTATTAAGATTTGAGTTCTATCTTAAACGATCGACCTTATTACGATGACTAATCGCAAACTCTTATATGTTAGTCTATATATCAGTATTTAGCCGATGTGTGATTTATCCCATAACAAAGAGTTTAAATAACTCGAATATGTATTTAACATATTATAATCGTGCCAAAGTTGTATTCGTTTTAGACTTCTAGGACAATGATAAATTATCTAATTTTTAATGAATTTGTTTGTGTTATATGAGTTGATAGTGATTTCTCATAAAATTGTACAAAAAATTCATAGCCAAACTTGGAAATGAATTTGTGATTCTCCTGCTTTACCGATCATGTAGTAATGGCTAATGGATCGTATTGCCCTCCCATTCTCCCAGTTGTACACAACTGTTAAATTTCCCCATAATGCAAAGAAATATCAAGGTGTGTGTGGTCACTTATTTGTAGGGACTGAAAACTCACATCAACAACACAAACCATGCATGTGGGTGTTTTGAGTCATTTTCGTGCATGATCCAATGAGGGGTAGGGGTAGGGATAGGGATAGGGGTACAGGTGGGGTCCGATTGGGATACCTATAATCGCATAAACGTTTAACTCGATAAAGGAAAATAGTTCACATGCAAATTGAGTTTATTTTTTCATCAAAAACCCACATAAACACACAATTTTCATATATATGTGGTGGTGAGACACAAATTATGAAGCTATATTTGCTTTGATATCTTGTTGAATAACCTCGTTTAAGAACTTTTAATCATAGGAGCAAGGGGCATCAATTGCTTCCACAACTCAAATGATTATACTATTTTCATCATTACATCATGGCAAAAAACCAACCATTCTTGTATCCTCATTATTCTAAATATGGGGATGGTTTACAATTATGTAATATCACCCATGTTCAATGTTCTTAAAATTCACTAGCCATAAGTTTGGCATGTGGGTCGTGCTTGTCTATAATTTGCATGAGAAGTCTAGTCATGTTTGTACTTTGTTTGGAATTAAATCGTGAAATGTTTTGACGTTGTAGTTGAAATAGTCATCCTCGTTGTGTCACTTCATGCTTCAAACAACTAGAGTTGTCATTGTATTTAAATCTTTTTCGCAAGATTTTCAAATTCCTTGATTTAGACATATTGCTAGAAACTGCTTTGATTTCACGTTAGATAGGCCTTGATGGATTGATTTTCAATTAATTTGTTTTCTTTCTTAATCTTTAAGATGAAAAGGTTAAAATTATGTAGTGCCGTGTGCAAAACTCAATAAACTACTTGTTTTGAGCCCTAGGAATGTGAAAGATTTTTAGGCATGTGCACAAGTTTTATAAATGGACGACAGCTAAACTAGGGTCTGGATATGATGTCTCCATCTCAATTGTTCCTTGGATATCTTCAATTAAAATTCGACGCATCACTATAATTTGAAGTGTCAAAATATGAGTGGGGTATAGTTTTTTAGTATTTTTCTTCCTGTATGACCTAAAATCTTGGCACTTCAAAATTATAGTGATATCTAAAAATTTAACGAGGGACAACCAAGGAAACAAGGATGGGGACAACACCTAACTCTAGTACTATGTTAAGAATCACATCTATGTAAATGTACTCATCTAAGTTTTTTTTCATCATTAGACAGAATAAAAAGCCCAGATAACACTGTGTCATAGGGCTTGTATGGAAGTGATTTTTTGGAAAGTAAATTTTTTGAAGAATGTATAGTTTAAATGTAAGAAAACTATAGGAAGAAATGTGAAAACTAACGTTTTAAAATGTGTACGTGTGGTTGAAAATGAATGTATGG